TAATCTGATGACTAAAAAAGACTCAACAGTTTTCATTGACAAAAAGTAGACTAAAATAATTCTTTTTCTTTGACGCATGAATGCTCATACTTTTAGTCGACTAAATCTTGACTAAAATATTTACTGTTTTAGTCGACTAAAATAAGACTAAAATGCTCAGACTTTTGCTCAGACTTTTAGTCGACTAAATAAGAAAAGGATGACGGTGACTAAATATGACTAAAACTAAAAAGGAAATTTAACACAGGACTAAGACTAAAAACGAAATAAAAAAATAGCTAACGAAATTAACACTAGTTGTGATCTATAGTTTTTCACGCGCTGCAGCTACACACTGCCTCAGATTACTGCTGCGGTCTACTCCTTCCTGTTTCCTATTGTTGTTAAATTACTGTTATTCCTAACCTTGGTTGAAAAAAAAATGTACTTTTTAACCTTTCGTAACCTCTAGTTTACTAGAGAAATGGTTTTAGCTTCCGCACTATCACTGATAGAGGCAAACTGAAAATACTTTGGGGCTTTATACAGTGGGAACTAACAGAGGATTACATTGCTATTGATCGAGTCTGTTTTCGTATACAAACTGGATTCATGGAACACCAGTTTTGAGTTGAAACGATTGATCAAAGAGTGAAACAACAGAAATGCAATTAGAAACTTTTAATACATTTTTGATTGGGTGGAAAAGGGCAAACGTCTACTTGCTTCAGATTCTCAAAAGTGAAGATTTGTTGCTTTTTATCTGCTTTGTAGTATTGGACTATATATATAATTTGGGTCATATCCTTTTTTCTTTTCTTTTTTAAACACGCTGTTTTAAATCCATACTGCATGTTATACTTTTGAAAATGTTGCCAGACCTTTACGCTTAACAATTTGTAGATTCATGAAGAAAAAAGTATAAATGAAATGGTAAATGGACTGTACTTATATAGCGCTTTATCCAGTCTTTAAGACCCCTCAAAGCGCTTTACATACTACATGTCATTCACCCATTCATACAGAGCAGTGTACCTTACTCTATAGGACCTAACATTCATACACATTCACACACCGTTGGCCATGCCATCGGGAGCAACTCAGGGTTAAGTATCTTGCCCAAGGATACATCGACATGTTGACTGCATGGGCTGGGATCGAACCCACAACCTTCTGGTTGAAAGACGACCACACTCCCTCACAGCCACAGTCGCGAAATGTATGTAACAGACAGAAAATACAAGTGAAAATGTATAATAAGCATGGAATACACAAAATAATTTTTTTCATATATGACATTTGACCCTGCGACTATGATTATAATAACATTGCTACATTTGTATTTGGAGCGCTGGTCACTGTACCCTGTTAGATCGAGGACTGAATCATTGTGGTTATGTTAATGCCGTGTTGCTCTGTCTCGCACTGGCACTCATCTTGTTTCTATAATGTGTTTTTACAGCACAAAGAAGAAGAAGATGGCTGATAAAATTCTACCTCAGAGGGTGAGCATTAATCAAACAGCAGTCCCTGACAATCCATTAATTCCTGCCTTCATTGTGTTTCAGAGATAACATTTGCTTTTCAATTTTTGTTTAAGTTGAAGTGGCTCGAAATAAAGGACTGTTGGTGTTTCTTTAAGGCCCTTTTTAAACAACTACAATTCAGAGAGGACCAGCTGTATGCATGGGATTACTCATTCCACTTCTGAGGCTTTTCCCGGTGTGATGGTTTCCAAGATGGATTAGAATAAAACATCCTTCTTGTACTTCCCTCTAACATTTGAATTCTATAAGCCCATATTACCTTTCTGGTTGTTGATGTAAGCTATATGTTTTTATTGTATATAAATGACTATAGGTTATATTATATTAAGCATATTATTTTTTAATGTTTTTTACCCAAATGATTATTGAATTGAAACTACAATTCATGAATTATGGAATGATAAATATATGTATCCTTATGTAGTCACTTCATTATACATATGTATACAACTACATATTTAGTGTTAGTGTTTTCATCTTTGTGTTTGTATTTTAGTTACAGAGCAACTGCAGTTGTTTCTGCATAGTATTGTTTCCAATACAAACATTTTGAATATCTTCAGAGTTGTAAAGTCCACAAGTCAAAGTGTATTATAAAAAAGACAATTTAATTATTTCATCTTACAAAATATTGTGCTTCAGAAAAGAAATGTTGTTACATTTAACCTTTCACAAAACATGTTTCACTGTGCTGAACTTTCCTCACACAAAGGGAGGCAGGCATGTGTATTAACAAGGAGTTCTAACAGCAGCATGAATAACGTTTTTATAACCGCAATAACAAAATCCTCAATATTACCTTTGAATGTAATGAAAGACCTTTAAAATCAGAAATAGTTCTGAAAAAGCACTTTGTGGAGATGGAACATGAACTGACGGTATGTTCCTCTGAGAGTGCTGCGTTGTTTGATGTTGCTCACCAGTACCTGTGTTGTGTCCCAGATCAGGGAACTGGTCCCAGAGTCTCAGGCTTACATGGATCTCCTGGCTTTCGAGAGGAAGCTGGATCAGACCATCATGCGCAAAAGGCTAGACATTCAGGAAGCCCTGAAGAGGCCCATAAAGGTACCATTCAATTCAAGTTCTTTACTCCTCAAGTCCCCAAATCACTCCGGTTCAGACCTCAAATTAATTTCAAAGCCATTCCAAAGCCCAGAGGACTCCACCCGTCACTATAAGTGGACATTTATAAGTAATAATTCAATAAAGGCTTGTAAAAATGTCTACAGCTCTGAGTCCACGGGTTGACATGAAATGAACATTGTTGATTTAACAGACTCTTTTTACGAGGTAGCAGTCAAGAGGATGATGATATATAGTGAGGTGCCTGGCAGATATGTACTTTTTATTAGTTCAAAGTAGGGATTTTACAATACCAGAAATTAAATAGGCAATACTGCAAGCAGTGGATGTTCAGTACCCAATTTGAACCAGGGTAAAAAACTAAAAGAAAACCATAAATCCTGTGAAGTCTACTCTGACATACACTCCTTTTATATATTCTTTTTTTGTTAGGATGTTAATCAGGTCATAACTCCCTCTCTATTATGTAGTTTATATATTACTGTGATAACATCTACTTGACATTTCTCAACAAAAGTACATCGAACAAGATTCCATGTGTTAGTTCTTCTGAGTCCTATGCAACCTAGTGAACCTGTGGTAAAGTATAAAGCACCATCATATTTACAAAATGATGGCATTAATTGGTGCAGAAAAATCGGTTCTTGTGACATCAATGGATGAAATTTGTCAACGAAAGGTGTCTGGCGTTGAGCTTCAAAACATTGATCCTAATTTAATCTGCACGCTGTCACAGCTGGGAAACTTTATTTTCCCCTTGAGTCAGATGTACCCAATCAAATGAATCCAAACTATACTTGTGATATACTTATGAGTCTGCACATCAAGTCTGTTGATTAAATGACGAGAGAAAACAAGAACATCAATTTATAGTTTATCTAATGGTTTTTTTCCAGCAAAAGAGAAAGCTTCGGATCTTCATATCCAACACCTTCAACCCGGCAAAGCCTGATGCAGAGGATGGAGAGGGCACAGTTGCATCATGGGAGCTGCGTGTTGAGGGGCGTCTGCTGGAAGATGTAAGCTTTGTGAATGAAATATATTGCTTTATGTGAAGTTTTTCTGTGTGTAAAATATTTCAATAATTATAGCCCAACACTTACAAATGTATTCCATAAAACTGCCTTTGAACTAACCACATCTTAAATGTCTTTGATGAATAACATTAAGCTTACACCATGAAGGACTTAAGATTTGATTTTCTTTTAAAATATTACAGAGTTTTCTATACAGATTTTGTGTTGCTTTGATTAATGTTTCCAATAACGGTAACGTTTGCTCTGCAGTCGGCTGTGTCCAAGTATGAGGCTACCAAGCAGAAGAGGAAGTTCTCCTCTTTCTTCAAGTCTCTGGTGATCGAGCTGGACAAAGACCTGTACGGCCCAGACAATCACCTGGTGGAGGTAAGATTATTTGGTTTTCATCTCTATAAACACATCTGCCAATAGTCACCCACAATTCTCTTCAGGGACTATATATTGTAGTGGATGATGGATTTAGTTTGTCTTTTTGTCCCCATTTCCCATCATTGTATTGGTAGTGAAAAGGTGTTTGTTTGTTGGTTAAGCGACAATTGAAAAGTTGCTCTATAAAATGTTTAGGGTTATCATTATATATTATTATGTGTTTGTAGTGGCACAGGACTGCCACCACCCAGGAGACTGATGGTTTCCAGGTGAAGAGACCCGGTGATGTGGGCGTCCGCTGCACCGTCCTGCTGATGCTGGACTACCAGGTAAACACTGCTCAGGGCAGTGGCGTGCACAGACATTTATAGGGGCAGGTGCTCAAAAGAAGAAAAAAAGGGCACCTTTTGAGTCGTCGTGGCGACGAAATTGTGCGCTCCGAAATTGTGAGCGAAAATTTGCCGGATAATGGCGGATTTTGTTAGTTTCTTTTCCGTACGAGGACTGTTTTTGGTT